GGGCGTTTTAAATGGCGGCGGTTGCTCTGAGGAGAAGGGCGCGAAGGAATAGGGGGATTCTCCTCTATGCTGTTCGGCCCCTTCTCTAAGCATAGGCGCCCCGGCTGCCTCCATGACGGAACACGTGAGGGGCTGGTGGAGCTGGTTTGCTTCCCCTGTGCTCTGGGAATGTGTCTCATCTCCCTCTGTGGGGTGACAGCTGTAATTTGTAGCTGTATTGTTGTTTTTTTTTCCCTAGTGTGTAATTCATATTCTTCTTCCTGAGTCCCTGCATTTTTTACTTATTAGTAGTTGTATGGTATGTACAGAGTATTTTCCTCCTTCAGAAAGCAGTTCTGTCACTTCAAAAACAAACTTGTCAGAGAGTAAAACCACATCTGCTTTTTTTTTTTCCCCATTGACAGATCAGTACCAGCTCTGGCAAAAGTAAATCCTCATGACTCTTAGCTCTGCATGAATTAAGTCCAAAAGAGAGCTGTGCATGATATTACACTATATACAGACAGTTAATTTTATCTACAGTGTCTGTGCCTGTTGGCCCTAAAATGTGAAAGTAGCTGCACTTAGTATTAGTTCTGGTCTTGTTCGGGTCAAAAACCTGTTTCTATGAACATTTTTAATATTCTATCTGTATTTTTCACAGGCTAATGTAAACTTTCAAATATGCAAAGCTTGTTGTTCTGAAATCAAGCAAAGAATTCTAGCTGGGGACTCCTGCATTTAAATTTTAAAATTGATTGTAAGTTATGAGCAATAGCAGAGGGAAGGGCGTTTCTAGGGCTCTGGGGTACTAGTGGTGAGTTGTCTCTTCCTGAAGCATGTTACAGTTTAGTTTCTGAAAATCAGAATGTTTTGGGGTGGGTTTTTTTGTGTGTGTGTTTTTCTTAACTAAAACATTAGACTTAAAGATAGGGTTGAGCTGGGCAGCTCATGGAATTTGAAGAGTTGCTCTGCTGCTGAGCTCTATTCATTTGACCTGGAAAGGGTTGTGCTGCTGGTAACTACTGAAATGCCGAAAATACAAACCCGATACTACGTACTGAAATACAAACCCGCAGCTGTGGTAGGAAGCTGGGCAGCAGGGTTTCACTGGCTGGGTTACCCCGGCACACCTATGGCATGGCCAGGCTTGCCCAATACCAAACTGTAATGAAATGGAGGAACCCTCAGGAGCCTGTAAACTCTTCCCACAGCTTTTCTTCCCTTTGGGGGGCTTTGTGACTGCAAGTCTTGTAAGGATTTGAATACATATTTTGTAGCGTCAAGAAGTTAGCCACCTTTAGAATAAGCATATATTTAAATAATGTGAGTTATCTGTGATGTACAGGAAGATTTAGTGTCCTTTTCTGGCCTTAGACTCCATAATCCTCTGTATAACTATACAACGCCTAAATCGCTGGTAATACTTGATAGTTCTCTATGCTTCGGTCTTTAGGTTGGACTGGCTAGTGCAGCATTTTCAAAGGTTTTCTAATAAGGATCCTGGGTTCATGGCATAGTCAAAACAGACAGTAGGTGTTAAGCTTAGCAGACAAGCTTTGCAAAAGGTTTTAGTAGTTTTACATATTTATTTGTGGAGAGTATTATGAAAATAATGGTTACTTTTTAAGCAGCACTTTTCACAGGTAAATCATTTTGCATTTTTACATTTTACAAGTTGATGGTGGACTACTGCCAACATTTTTGGCATAAGGGTATTTGCTCAGATCTGGTTCTGTAGCAAATGCTCGGTCTCTGACCACTGATGTATCCAGATTAAATTTGGTAGACTTCTGCACTTTGTGAAAGCTGCAAGCTGCATGTAACGGCAGAGTTTACCTTATGAAAGGTACCTGGCAGGATAAACTGTACCAAACGTAGTGCCTAATGCCCGATTTGCACCTTTAAAATTAAGAAGCTAATAATAAAGTATCATTTAAAGGCAAATAATCAATATTAGTAATCAAATTGTTAATAATTAAATTGCAGTTTTGTATTTAACTTCTCACATTTATTTAATTTTTTTCTACCTTTTTTTTTTCTTTTTATTTACCAACTCTGGCTGCTTATTCCCCCAGAGTCTTTCATTTTCTTTCTAATGCTAAGACAATAATTAATGGTGTAATTGTTACCCAGCCTGAGTGCTGCAATTGCATTCTTTTGGGCTTCCTTCACCTGTTTGTTATTTTTCCTCATCATTATTTGCCAAATTATTTTTCTTTCTTACACGGCCTCTGTTTGGGAGTCTTCATAGATCTGTTCTCCGCAGAAGAATTAATTTTCTCCTTCATGTTATGGCATAGGTTAAGCTCATATTTGACATTTTATTCTTTCAAGTTCCTTCCTTCAGTCGTTGCAAGTAACTGTTCTTTTTGTGCTTTTCAGTTACACTTTTCTCTATATTTTTACAGTGTGCCAAGAATTGCCTCCTAATTAAAAGTATCTCCCGAAACAAAAGATAGTGAGTTTTAGTTCAGGAGCTTCAAATCTGGTCTGGTTTATGTTGTTACACATCTTCCTTGGCAAAACGTTAGGTTGGTACATCTGTGCCTTTAATAAGTGGGCCTGAGGAATTAAGTTCCTTATTTTTAAAATTAGTACTTTTTTCTAACTTCCTGCTTGGTTGTTGAGCTCTTTACCCATCTTCACGGCCTCAGTTTCTGGAAAAGATAAAAGGGATTGTGGAAAAAAAATCCTTCAGGAGAACTTTTTCCTTAAAGATGCAAAAAGGCCCAAAGAACAGCATTAATACACTTTGATGCTTGTCTTTGATGTTCTGTGTGGAGCTATGAAGGCTAACAGCGCAGCAAAATTTGCTCACATCAGTGGCTGCAAAAATACTTCCTTTAATAACAGCATTTTAAGAGAGGAGGGAAGCATCTTTTACAGTCTCTCTTAAGATTTTTGTGGGTTTTTTTTAAATCCATTGTCATGTTATGGGACTGTTGTGCCACTTGTTAGTAGCAGTTGTGTATGTTTCCTAGGGACTTAATAGTTCACCAGTACTATTTTCTAATTTTTACAAATTGGCTATTGCATTATATTCATATTGCTTTTTAAATATTAAAACACTTCTTTCTCTATCTCTGATACACCAAACTTATTTTTCTGTAATCTTCACAGCTTAAAATGAGTGATTAAAGATGCTATTAACAATCAACAAAGCTCACTCAAGGATATCAGGAAACGCCTAGCACAGTATTTTTAATAGCTTCAAAAAATGAAAAACATATTTTTTGAACTTCTAGTATAAAATGTAAAATATTAGCATTATTGAGGTGCCTCTTTAAAATTGTAATGATCAGAGCAATAATGCTGGAGTATGACTTACGCTCTGGTAGATTATCTCTTTAAGATTATTCTGTGTTGCTAAGTAACGTGATTTGGTATTTCATTTTAAAACATATGGTGTGTAATGCATAATTGATTTAACATTTGCAAATTTTTTTTTTGTTTTAGTCAATCGAAGAAAATGAAGTTTATCTGCCTAATGATGAGCTCTGGATCTATGAAATGGATAGTGGATTATGGTAAGTTGCATAATTTATATTTAATTAATATATTAAGTTGATCTTTGCATAGATTACAGTTAACTGCGGTGAAAAGGCTTCAGTTGCATGAGTTATTGGTCACGTTCCCTGGTGTTTAAATAGCAGATGTTTCATGTAAAGACTGAAGAACAGACATGTGTACTTGCACATTAACTCTAGGAAAACGCATTAATTCCTTAAGTATAATTGTGGGTATTTTTTCAAGAGAATGTTTGAAACGGTCAGCTTAAGGCTTTGTTGTTAAAACAGGTGCATTTTATTTGGGAATTTACTTTGGCTTAGTTCTCCATATATTCATTTTTATGTTAAAAGGAATATTTAACCATTGAGTATTTGGGTTCTTGATCTATTCACAATTGCACATTTTTTGTTATTACTTGTGTTTTGAGTGTATTTGCATAAATAACTCATAACTAACCAGATTTTGCACGTCACTAGCAATTCAGTCTTTACATTTTGCATTCATTGTGTTTACTTATCATATGAGGGGACAGGTAATAATGCCTCTTTTTAAAGTTTTCCAGTGGTTTCTATTACAATAATTGCATTTAGTCTGGTAAAGTAGTGTCCATTTGGGCTTACATGTGTTTTCTGCCACCTGTCTTTCTAGTGTCCCACCTGTTTATATATTCCTTGCATACAACTATTTAGGAGATTCATTGCATAGCCTTATTCAAAGCAACAATTTGGAGGGAAAAGGGGAGGAGGGCTAGGTCAGGAGGGTGTCTTACAGTGTGTATGAAATTCCACATCTGTGTGGTCAGGTTACTGACTTTGAAAACATCAGTTTGCATGCGGTTACCTGTGAAGTTCTAGCAAGTCTTTTTGCCCCGCCTCCCCCTCTTTTTTTTTTTTTTAAGATTGTACCCTCATTGAGACTGTGGTTTGCTGTCTCTTCTTTTGGTGAAGGGGTTGGCTAAAGCAACCTCATACTCTCTCTTGGTTTTCACCCCTTCACCCCTGATGTCCCTGTATCGGTTGTACTGGTACAGCTGTTTATGTGGTCACATGGGAAATTGGATCAGGGAAGTGATCTGTGTTAAATATAACTTTTCTTTTTTTCAGGCTTATTTTTAGCCTGGTTCCGTTCTTGATCTCATTCAGTTTACAGCACAAATGGTTGTACTCGTACAGCTCAGTGCACTGCAGGACGCAGGGACAAGCAGAGGAATGAGACAGCAAGAGCAGAGAAGGTGAAGGTGGGCTGGCCTGTGGCAGGGCTGGTGCCAGAGCAGAGGTATTTGGCAGCAGTGCCCTGAGCAGTTGTGAGTGAGCGCTGTTTTGTAAAGGGACAGGTTACACACGTGTCATTCACATCTGGTGATTTGGCAAATAAAAAGCTTTTCCTTTTAATGGCTGCCCCCAGTTCTTTTAGATTGGGGTAAGGTCAAGCATCAGAACTCAAAGCTGTAAGAATCTTTTTCTTCTGTATAGCCACCAGTGACAGAAAATGAAGGCATCTGATCTAGGTGTGGGTGTATCAAAGAAGGGAATGAATGGAATTGACTGGGTCAAAAAGTGTGGTGATACTAGACCTGGCAGAGAGGAGAAAAAGTGGCTTTGAAGTGGGAGAGCATGACTGAGGAGGGAGACTGGGCTAAGGACACAGTTGGAAGGCACAGAGTCAGGTGGAGAGCTGAGAACAGTGAATAGGAGCAGGAGGGGAAGGAAACCTCAGTCGGAAACTGTGGGGTCAAAGCAAATGAGATGTTGGCAGCAAAGCTGGGGCAAGGGTTTGGAGTGCCAGCACAGGGAGGCTGGGATTTGGCTGCTAAATCTACAGAGACTGAAGGTGTAGCGACCAGGTGGAAATCCTAAACAAATCGTATGTCCTCTGTGCGTGTAGTGTGAGGGAGAAAGGCAGGGCCCTATCTTCTGTAGAAATTTGAGATCCTAGGAAAGCTGTTTCCAATGTGGGGTAGTGAGTCTAAGTGCAGTCTTGGCCTAATGCTCGGCCTCATGAGTTCAGCAGAAATCGAGTTTCATCAGATAGATGTGTAGTGCTTGAGATTGTATGATGTAAGAATTTGCATCACAGGAAGTTACTGGTTTGTAAGTGACACCAGCAAGGAAAAGGCTGGGAACTGCTGCTGAAGAACAGAGAACTCATTGCTAAAATCGGCATTATTGATTTTTTTATTACTCTAAATACAGTGCAAAATGCAGTTTTAGGAGTGGCATACTGCATGCCAAACTTAATGAGTACTTCTGACCTTTGTTTCTACTTCTGCCTCAGTTTTCCATTTGTGAAATAATGGTGATACCATGTTCTCATTTCAGGAGTTTTTGAAATGAATAGTATTTCCAGGATTTGAATAATTAATGGTTCAGCTCTACTAATGCTGTTTTAATATGGGCTTCACCTTCAGAAGAATTGAGATGCTTCATAAACATATGCACAATATTCATGTGAAAGTCATCTTACAGAGCAGGAGCCTGACTTCATTCATCAGCTATAGTTTCCAGTGCTAGTTGTGGCCAAAACATTGCAACTGTATTTTTAGGTTTAAGTATAAAAAAATATTAATACATCTGGCTCGGGTTTGTTAATTTCAGCAGGTTTGAAAACAGCTTTATAAGACTTAATGTATGTGCTAAATTGCAGGACAATGCACCTAATGGAAGGAGAGTTACCTACCTCCATGTCAGGAAGCTGTGGGGCAAGCATTAATGGGAAGCTGTACATTTTTGGTGGATTTGATGATAAAGGATACAGTAATCGGGTATTGTATTCTATTCTTTCCTAAAATACTGTATTTGAATCAATAATAATGCTGACCTTACTGTTTCATCTGGTGTACTTTGCATTTGAATTAAGGAGAAATGTAAGGAAAAGCTTAATTTTTTGTAGAAAAGGTGTACTTTTAAACTGACAAAAAACTTTTTGGTTTCGTTGTAATGTTCAACTTCGTATATTTTTCTGGGATTTTTCACAGAATCATAGCTTGAGAGTGAGACCTGTTACGTAAAACTTTCTGTATTTATTTCTGAAAACTGCCAGTGCTTTCCCAATTGCTTTCTTTTCTCTTTTTTTAAATATGTTGGCAGCCGTAATTGAAACTGATTTCAGAATATCACTTTTATTTTTGCTCTTTGATAGTGATTACCTTTCTTATATAATGAGGTAATAATTAAAATAAAGCTGCCAGTTTTCCTTGTAACTGAAGGCTGGACTAGCAAAGTAGAGGAAATGAGCTGCTTTATCATTTAGTGTAAATGAAGTCAGAGTTCAGCCCTGACTAGAAGATAACTGTCTATGGCAGGGGGATTGGAGCTCGATGATCTTCAAGGTCGTTTCCAACCTAAACCATTCTGCGATTCTATGAAATGGAGCCTGTAATCAGATCTCAGTTTAGTACTCAGTTCACAAGCTTTGTTGATTTTTGTGCAGTCGCCTGGTTAGGTCAGGCACTACTGCCAGTTCTGCCAGTAGAATTGAACTGAGAGCTGTTTGTCTTGCCGAAGTTTTTTGCAAGGCTTCAGTTGACTCTGGAAGGAGCAAGCTATTAGTGTTCTGGTCTGGCTGAGCCAAGGCAAGGAAACGTGCTGCTAATTCTCACACTTTTTGTGTTCCTGTGGTGTATCGCATTCTTCCTATATGTTGCTACATATTATAAACTTTACTGTCAGTTCTTTTTTTTTTTTTTTTTTCCAAAGGAAGTAGTGTATTCTGGGGGTGGTGGGATGTTCTTTTTGCTGGTGATTTGTTCTGGATTCCTCGACATCATTTATACTGAAAATGTTGTAATTTTTTTCTTTTAAGCTGTATTATGTTAATTTGCGAACAAAAAATGGAACCTATAGGTGGAAAAAAATTACAAATTTTAAAGGTCAACCTCCTACACCACGTGACAAGCTTTCCTGCTGGGTGTATAAGGACAGGTAACACATTAAGAATATTTAATATGTGTTAATTGCAGAGAGGAAGTACTATAAAATGAAGAGAACACAGGTTTGGGATTCATGAAACTAATTCTTAGCTTGACTTGCTATGGCATTTTGTGTAACTCTTCTAACAACTTTCTACCAGAGTTTTCTCACGTGTAAGCTGAATTAAGGGTAAGTATAAAGCCATCTTAGGAGAGGGTTAGGAAATTTCGTGAAAGTTTCTGGAATGCTTTAAGCCTTTAGATAAAGGGCATTATGCATCTATTACTCATGGTTTTAATTTTAACACAGGTTTAAAAATCTGTATAAAAATTACTTTTCTTTTTTTGTTACATTATGTAAGCAGTAAACTATTACCTGGAATAAAATACACTAGTATATTTTCAAGGATTTTAATAATATACAAATACTGACAATTGCAAAGGCATTTCAGTGAGTATCTTTATTTTCTAAGAACCAAGTCAGCCTAGATATGTGTTGTAAAAGTTACTGAGTGTATTTAGAAAAAATATTTAGCTAAAAATAAATACTTCAGATTTTGTGTTTATTATGGAAAGTGTCTGTATATTGAGGCATATGTGGTTACAAGGAAGTGACATGTCAGTGATTTGTTATGAAAGTTACTGTAAACAAGTAAAAGTATGATATACAATGAACAGTATAAAATGTAAATGATTTATCTGTTTCTGGACTCCACATCTAAAGAGGTTTTGCATAAGCTGGTAGTGCCTCTCAGTACTATATCTTGGTTTTGTAATACTAATTTAACGGCAAGATATATGAAAATAAATATATTTGACCAAGTTCTCCTTAGCTATCAAAAAGATTATTCAAAATGAAATTAATCTATTCAGAGTATCGTGTAATCCATGTACTGAGAAAATTACCTATTTTAGGTGGCAGAGTGTAACCGTTTCATTTACCAAAAGTATTTGGGGACAAGCTATGCACCTTTTCAGAAGTATACCTTAAAATTTCACAAGATGTGAGTTTGCAGATCAGCATGTATGGTGTATTGCACAATGCTTTCAGTAACTCTGTTTCCCTAGGAATGTCAGTCTGGAATGACCTTCACCATCCCATCATTTCCTAAATTGCGTTCTCCCAAGATCACTAACAACTATACCAAATATCCTCAAATGTTGACGTTAAACAAAACTTTAGGAACCATTACTTATGGATGGCCATTTCATGGGTGGAATATTAGGCTGGGAGGTGTGTAACGATACTTGCGATGCAATATGTTCAGTAGTGCTTAGTTGAAAGAATCTCTTTGTAAGCTAGAGAAAGACTGTGGGTCACAGGCAGTCCGTGGGCTGAACCTTGGGAACGTTTGTTATGACAGTATGTATACGGAAGGCTAACAAATATAGCAGGAGCATAGGAATTTCAGTAGAAAAGAGTAGGAATTCTAGCAGAAGCATAGGCATTTCCCTGTCTTCTGCGTTATGTGTCATTTTGAGACTCGTGTCCAAAAATGTTTCTGTGATAAATAAGCTTGTGGATGGAGGAATAGAGAATAGACATTGGAGGTATCTTGAACCTCCTTCCTTGCTTATGTGGATTTCTGTCAGGCTTGTTGAGGACTGTAACTATTACCTTCATCTTGGTAAGGTTTGTTGTGTAATTAGATGCAATATGAAATATTTTAAGTTGTTTATATTATTAATAGTACAGTAGGTAAACCAAAATTTGAAATTAATTATTACAGCTTATTCATTTGAATGTTATTTACAAAACAGCTAACTGAACGTATTTTTTGTTGTTCTTCTTTTAGGCTAATATATTTTGGTGGCTATGGTTGTAGGAAGCATAATGAACTTAGTGATTGTTTTGATGTCCATGATGCATTTTGGGTAAGAGGTTTGTCACAATTCTGAGTGATTTTTCCTTTCTGATTGTCAAAACATTGTTTTAAACTATTCTCAGTAAGTATGAAAATCTGTCTGATTTTTCTTTTATTTGTAGCATCAGCAGAAATGCAAATGAGAATCTTCTACTTAGATTTGAAATTTCAGATATTGCATGTTGGGAGCAGTTGGTGTTCAGTGTATTCCAAGTACCCAGTGCTAGGCTTTCAGTGCAATGAAACAAAATGCAGTCAAAGCAGAAACAAAAGCAGTATTTTTAAATCTGAAGACATATTTTAAATATGAAACTCCCAGAAAATTTTAGAATTTATTTCCTTGAAGTAACAATAGGGAATTTATAGCTTCACAACTCTTAACTGACAAATACTTTAAGTTATTGTATTTAATTTGTTATCCAGAGTAAATGCCATTACTTTAAGATGACTGGATTAGCTAGTTTCCTGTGATGATTTCTTACAGTTAATAGAAAGGAGACTGTTAAGAGTATTTAGTGACAGGAATTAATAAGAAGTAGATATTCATTCAAGGAAGTATAAATCCTTACATCAAATATTAAATATTGACATACAGAAATGTATTGCTTTGTACAATCTATTTATTTCTCAGTATGTTACATTAAAAATTAGAAGGTAGAATTTGTCTACTTCAGTGACTGATGTTGGAGCCCAAAGCCCGTTTTTTAGAAGTATCATCAGCCCTAACATTCCGGAATGCTGCTGACCTTCAACTAGACCTGAGCTGCTGCATCATTATTAAAAAGATTAACATATGTTTCTTTTAATAATATTCTGTATTTTGGTTTATTTTCTGTTTTGATAGATCACTTCTGGCTTTGTATCCTTTAATAGGCATGAGGATTTTAAAATAGAATAAACTCTTTTTTTAACTTCTTTTTTTAGGAAGGACAGATATTCTGGGGATGGCATAATGACGTTCATGTATTTGATACAACCACACAAACTTGGTCTCAACCAGCAATTCGAGTGAGTGTTTTTAGTCTTGTCTTTTGACACAATTGTGATTTTACTGCATTTTGAATAGTATTGTGCTCTAGAAAATGATGTTGGGAAAAGCAATTTGAATATGCTTAGTATTGCTCAGGCTTATAACGTGAAACAGGAGGACACTCAATGCCTCTGAAATACGGAAAATTCAGAACTGATGGGAATTTTTTTTCCCACAGGATGTTATTAGACCGGTGGTTTTTCTGTAATGTGGTTCTGATACAAAAAATACCGTACGCTTCAGAGAAGTATTAGAAATCTGAATGCATTAGAAGATGATACAGAATACTGTATCTAGGGGATAGTTTTGCGATAAAGCTTTGTATTCTAGCTTTAGACAACTGTTGGGAATATAAAATTACTGTCAGTGCTCTGTAACTGGGAAGGCAAGGCGCTGGAGTACTCCAGAAAATGATTTAGTAGGAGTACCAGAGTGGGGCTGAGCAACAGGATGTGGAGGTGTTTCAGTCCTCACAATGCAAGACTGGATCCAGCGGAATGGATTTTGGCGATTATACCAACTTTGGGTATCCTTGTAGGCCCTGCCAGGGCTTTGGATATGGAAGAGTTTCATGGCTGGAGCACAGCCAGTAAGTAACACAGGCCAGCTCTGCATTCACACTGGGTCACACCTAGTGAAGGCCTTCAGGAATGAAACGAAGGTCTTCAGGGAGTGCATAGTAGAAACACGAGTGCTTTTAATGGTGCCAAACCGAAACCCCATTTATCTGAACTGTTTTGATATGAAGTCATTTGGATGACTGTTTCTGTGTATAATTAATCTGCAACATGGATTAATCTCTCATGTGGTCAAGTCCCAGTTATCAGTGAGAGGTTAAGTCTGCGTGGAGATTTCTTCCTTTTCCCTGCCTCCCCCTTTTCATAAGGCTGATGGGTCAGAGTGAAGGATAGCATATTGGGGTGAAAGAACAGCAGTGGCCTCGAAATCCAGTCTCTTGGTTCACCATTCAGCTTTCACAGAGTTAAAGAAGACAAGGGGAGAGAGATAGTAAACTCGCTGTATTGCTAGTTTAGGCCTTCAGTTTTTCTTTGTGAAGTAAAGATACGTGTTTAGTATGCGAGGGTTATATGCTTGTTATTTTGAATGTTGCCTATATGGCGTTGCTGTAATTCCATTCAAGAGTTAATGTTGAAAAATCTTTTGAACAAATATCTCCCATCATGCTATATTGTTAGAATAAACGGATCAGATATTCTTCAGCAAATATATGATTTTAATAGTCTTCCAAAGGAGCATGTACACTCACTTTCCCAATAAAATGCACACGTTCCTATTTACTGATATTAAGGTGATAGTATACTGTAAAGGTTCACAAAATCCTGATGAGTTTACATAAGAACTCAGTAAAAGAAGTACACAGTAATGACTATCTGACACTATTTTATGGTCTTTATAGGATGTTCTGAAATTCCTATAAAACTAAATGCAAAAAATGGAATTACCATTGAAAAGTAAAAGGCAGTTTTGCTATCTTTACTTCTGATTTACACAGGGAATGCGTTTTGGCATGTACCTATTGGATGTAACATCAAATTTTAAGATCTGTTTTTTGTTCCAGTTCCTGATGGTTTGCGCTTTGGAAAAATAAAGCTGCACAGGGTATATCAACAATAACTGATGTGTTACTGTAATTTTATGCTTAGGAATTAAAGAGAAATTAATTGTATTTCACTTACGTAAAGCAATGATAAATCAGACCAAGAGGGAATATGTTAAACAGTAGCTGCTGAGGGAGCTCAATTAAAGCTGTCCTTGGCAAATATGTGTATCTTCTAATGTCTCTGGAATCTTGGACATGACTACAAATCATTTCCTTTTAAAGTTGCAGTTCTGTCAGCATATTGATGCATGTTGGCCTTACGTTTGCAATCTCTGTGATACTGGCTTGCCACTGTCCTTGGCTGGCACTTTGATGATGTTCTGAAGGATCTTATTTTGTTTTTTTCAGGGTGGAGATCCGCCTCAGCCTCGAGCAGCTCATACCTGCGCTGTGCTGGGAAATAAAGGTTACATCTTTGGAGGACGAGTGCTGGTTAGTGTTTAATTAAAACATTTTATTGGCAGTAATATTATTTTCTCGGCAATTATTTTATTTATAACAAATTATTTTTGTAGTAGAAAAATATCCAGAATGTCTTTGGCCTAACCTGTATGTTAAGGGTGTTGAATCCAGGATGCTTCTTTTCATTTCCTTGTACCTTACAAAAAGAAGAGTCTGTCTTTCTGTTTGTAATATTAATGATGAAGCATACGTCCCAAAAGGGGAAAAAACAGGTGACTGTGGTAAATGCCAATGTTTATAAATCAACAAAAATGGCTGATGTGTCCGTAACCTCTGTAGGAGATGGTTCTTTGAGAGTGGAGCAAAAGCAAGCCTGCTGATAGACCAGGTTTAAATAAATAATGAGATGCTAGCATTCTGGGCTTGCTACACTTTAGCAGTTTTATACATCAAACCTGCTGGCTTTTTTCCCCCATTTCACTTAATGAAATGCTAGCAAGTAGTAAATATAACCGGGACTTTAGCTTGTGCTTCACCCTCCTCCCCCCCTGCTAAAGAAAGAGGAAATGTGTAAGAACAGCCAGTTACTCTGGTACACATCTCTCATACCCTGATGCTTACCTTCTGGGAAAGTGAAGTTCAGAATAGCTGTTGGGATACAGGATTTTATATTTACAGTTGCAACGTGTGGTTCTGAAAGGTAGGAAATAACAGATTTCAGTTGGCTTTACGATTTAAACTTTTGTCATTTTTTGCACACAAGTGACTGAAATATAGATGTCTGTAAAAGGCAGCATGTGATTATAATGTCTGGGTACAAAGCTATTAGTTTCTGTGTGTTCAAGCTGGTACAGTATGCTGCAGCATGTTATCTGATAGCACAGGCCGCTGCAGGCACAGGTCATTCCAGTCCTGTCAAGCCTCACCTCTACTCTCTGAATAACAGTCATACAGTCTCAGTCTTTACCTTTAGCATGCTCTGTGCCCTTGGTACAGAATATGCGGAGCGTACGATAGAGATTGCTGTTAACAGTTTTATTCTGTGCATCCAATATAAGCTCTTCACCACAAGAGTAAGGCTTGTATTTGCGTTCTTTATAGTTGATCCAAGACTGTACCGTTTAATACACTGTGGGACGATCTTAAATCTGTTGTACCTTAGGTAATAGTCAAAGGCAGTGTAAGAACTGTCTAACGTGCCATCAGTGTGTACTTAAATCAAGGCTAGATTTTTGCTATATAATCTTAACTCTTCCTAGCTCTTTTTAACTTAACAAAAAAAAAAGTTATAGGCATCATCCCCCTGGTTCTCTGTACCTAACAAACTTGAAGCCACTGCTGGGAAGCAAGGAGATACTAAAACCTCTCAGCAACACACTTAGTTTTTCTAGTACTAGTCAGAGGAGATTTTCTCTTCAGTTCTTCTCTGCTGAAGCATTAACGTAAGAATTTAAGCCTGAGACAGCAATCCAGTACAAAAAACATATTCCTGTTCTACGTCTGAAAATAAGGGTGGCAGTAGGTAGTCTTAACTAATGCAGGCTCCACTATCGTTTGTAAGTGTTTTGCAACGATAGATTCTTTATGGGCTGGAAAGTGTACCACCTCTTTTTAGAACTGCTGCAAAAGCATAGGGAAGATAATATTTTTAAATTTAAAAAATAAAATAAAAAAAATGTATGAGCTGCAGTTTATCACAAATGTGAGAAACAGATTCTGTAAGGCAAGTAAAAAACCTCCTAATTTAAGTTACTGTGTACTCTTCCATATTTTTTTTAAATTTAAGTTTTTAGCTCTTTTTACCTACAGCTAATTTAGAGCCTTTAATCATGTTCAGCTAGAGGGTGAGACGTGGTGCTTTCTATCTCTACTGCTATGAAAAGTAACAGTGAGGAAGCCTTTGAAAGCTGGCAGTGCTGTGTTTCTATAGTTTCATTATATGAAAGAGAAGGAATTAACTGTTGGTTGAAAATGCCCTACAATGAACATATGCCAACTTCGTCTTGGAAGGCTGCCATAACCTAAACCCTGTATTCTTAAGTACTTGCAAATGAAACAGTGTAAAATTGCACTTTGTTCCCTGTCCCCTGTTTTTCATGCTGTAAAAGCTGTACTGTAATGCAGCGTTCTTCTCAGGGAAAGTCTACAGCTCTGTTACAAAATGGCTTACTCCTGCTTGCTCAGAAACCAGACGTACAGATCAAGGCAGGTTCAGAATGGCCACACAATGTCCAGCCAGTTTTTCAGTTTGAATCGCCTCACACAGCTGCAGGAAAAGTTTTTACCTAAGTACCTCTTCAGAGCAATCAGAAAAGAAAGTAACCACAGTTGATCCTGTTTATTCTTACCGTTCTGCATGATGTGGTATGTGGCCTTTCGTACAGGCTCACAACCTCTGGAATTGTTGCTAAAGCCCCGCCTCTGACTGAGAGAGGCGCGTGCAGTGACTTCCAGAGCTATAGGTCTGGACAAACTTGATTTGCAAATAACTAAGGAAATAAAGGGATATTAGAAGAGATTGAAAAAGTATCTAGTCTTACTTGAATCTTGTGTGTCAGGGTTAGCCATGCCAGGCTAAGTGAGCCCCTGCTTCTGCTATGGACTTACTCTTTCGTGTCTGCTGTATATATGAACTCTTGCTGACCACAGCTGAACTGAACCGTGCTCCTCATTTAGCAAGCCTGCAGATGTGAGAGGGAAAGAAGGAAACCTAGATGTGAAGAAATATGCAGCTCAGGACCTTCTGGCCTACCATTTATTTCTGAACACTTCCTCAACCTTCAAAGCCTTGCGCCCTCTGGCTTTTTGTTAACAAGGGCTATCTCTGTGTGATGCGGAGGTCTTCACACCAGAAACAGAATAGCCCCGAGTGTTGTGCCCAAGCTAGTTAGGGATGCTGCACTGTGCCTATTGCAACTGAACTGCTTTGTAACTCAAGCTAGAATTCTCATGCAGCCTCTGCAAGTGGAATTAGTGGTAAACTGGAGCTCGCCTGTCATTTCTCCACTGTGCTGTTGCATGGTTAGATATGCCCTAAGAGGACATGGCCTCTGGCTTCTATTTGACAATTTGACTACAGGATTCAGAAATACAAGAAGGCTCTGCTCTGAAAAGGTTTTTCTCTTCGTCAGGTAGCATCAGCTTTCTTAAAAACCATTTTCTAAATTTCAATGAAACCGCTTGGGAACTATGTCAGAGAAGAGTGAAATTTCTGAAAGCTATTTTTAATTTTGTGGGAGAGCAGCAAGTGTAATTTTTACCGTAGTGATACTCTGTTAGTGATTCACTTTTTAACCTAGAAATAAATGGAAGGAACTTCACAAAGGTTAGGGAACATTCAGTGGGACTTGAGGAATTAATGTAAGTCATGAAACAGGAAAGGAAAGCTAAAGACATCAGAAAAACACTACATTTCCTGACAACAGGAGTAACTTCTCCCCAAAGGATGAAGTCTTGCTTTTCTCCATAAATTAAGGAGCAAATACGGGGTTGCTCTGCTCCTCCTTCTCCTTCTAGTTCACCATAATACAAATCTTCCCAGGGAAAAGGCTCTACAAGGAACCAGAAAGGGCCAGGAAGTGTCATGAGGCTTCTCCTATTCATCTTTCTGGGAGGAAAGGGCACCTTTTTCCAAACTTGGAGCTAGAACTGGTAAAAGAAGATGATGATGATCAAAATCAATTGTACCAGGAATCATTTGAAAACAGGCTCAGAAGTATTATGTGGACTCTGTTCCTCCAGGTAAGCCCCTGAAAAAACAGAAATGGGAGAAAGTGGGAAGGAAGGAGAGTTAGTCCAAAAGTTGATGCAAGTCTCATGTTTGATTTAAGTGGAAAGTTTTCATGTAAAGAATGATGAAGTAATAAAGTCTTTCCAGCAGCTCTTCACACATCTGATGCCTTAATGTATGCATGTTGATATTTCCTGTTATCTTTTCTGTTATTGAAGATCAGAAGATACATTGAACCGCAGTCCTCCTTACAAAGATTTGAGCTGTAACAGCTGTTTGATAGTAAATCTCAGAATGGAGAGCTGCAGAGAGTTTACTGTAACAGCAGTGAGCTGTAAATATGTCACCCTTAATGCCTTTCAAAGTGCTAGAAAGCTAATCCTGAGACAAAGCAGATCCTGGTTAATGTTTACTGGGCTGCAAATAAATGAACATGCCATAGATAAGTAGGATGTCTTAGAGGTCCTTGTAGCTCAAAGAGAAATGCAAACCCTCTTATGAAGCTTGATGCTTTTAAGCCAATTAAGAATCATTTTAGGATTATCAGCTATATGATTGAATATAGTTGGCAGCATTTAGAAATACATGAGAAACTGCAGGAAAACTTTGCGTATGGCAAGTGACGATACTATAACCTGACTTTGTGCTTTACAGTTTCCCAAATAACAGTTGAGTAGAAAGGCATTTTCATTTATTAAAGCTATGTTAAAGGACTGAATCTTAGACATAAATGTCCAACTGATGCTGTGTTTTGAATTCAAAATGAGGTTGATGTAATTATGCATCTGTCAATCTGTTGAATCATGAGAATGTAAAGATTATAATACATTGATTTCCCAGGGACCAAGAAACTGAAAACTACTCCATCTTCTGCCTAATGCCTAGGAAAGGAAAGTCAGCGAGGAGGTCTTGAACAGGATCTTCTTGGAACCTTCATTTCCAACATAACAGCAACTTTCTTTCTTCCCTTTCTTTAATGGATGTCCTCCATATTGAACTGTGTTATTCCAAGATGATTAAATATTTCTAGTTCTAGAGGCCAGTGTCTAGCTGTGTACAGGTACAGCAGAAGATACTCAGTAATTGCATTTTGCTTTCTGCTTATATAATTTGTTCCTCATTGCCTTCAAAGCCATCTGAAGGAGCAGGAAACTGAATAGACTTGTCATGGAAGACAGATCTGTTCCACTAGCTGTCAGTTGGATCACACTTTATTGTTATATTCACCCTCTTGCAGGGATAAAGTTTCTCAGGCAATGCGTAAAAGCCCTCACATTCTGCTTTTCTTTAGCCTATTGGCCTCTCTGAAGACATTTCCAAAATGTTAGTTAAGGTTCTCTTCCCTTGGACAGAAAAGGTCTGGCACATACTTGATCAGAGGAGGCCATAGCTATCCTGAAAACCATGCTGTTTCCTGCAATACCCTGAGAGACTTTCCATAGCTCTGATGGACAGCTTTGGAAGTCTCTCAGACTCGCTAACTGGCTGAGTTCTCGGGGGGTAAAAAAAACTACTCCTATTCTGACTTGAATGACAAGTCTAGTTTCTGCCTCAAAGGATCTGCAAGCTGGAGAAAGGCTTATTCTAATAGATCTATGGACTACCCTAGGAGAAAAGAAATTGTAAGGTAAGGCAAGATATATTTCCCTACTTCTCAGATAATGTTTTGTAGTACCTAGGAGAATCACAAGTGTATTGGGAGCCATTGAAAATATTGCTGCAATCGAAAGCAAAGAAATTCTTTCATGTATTCTCCCTCCCCCTTTATGTTTCTAAGGCAATTACTTTCTTCATCTCGAGAGAGGCAGATATGCAAGTGTATTGATTTCCCATTGTTCTTATTGATGCATTTTATTATTTTTATGGCAAATGCTAAAGGGTCATAAAACCTTGTTGTTGCTAGTAGTAACCTTGTGAAAGGTCTCGCCTTCTGGAAAAGAGAGGAAAAACACAGATGTGTTGAACTTCATCTGGGATGTCATGTCATGTAATGAGTACAGTACCTACTAGAATATTTCAAGGAATAAGTGACCAGGCAGGAGGATGCATAGTTCTGATCACAATGCAAAGAAAAATAGTGAGAGAAAACTATACGTAGAGTGATACACCTTCTGCAATTACCTACCATGAATTCTGTGGATTAAAATTGAGTATATTTGTAGGAACTGAATATCATAGTTCTTCACTATTAAACTACTATTAAAGGCTAAAATTGGCCCCATACTACCATTGCACTACTGGAAATATTCCTGACAGGTAGTTTTCTGAGAGTTGCATGGATTTTACGAGAAGAAATGCTTTTCACCTGCCACATAATATAGAGCACAATGGGTACAGTTTTCTTCAAAATACTGTTACTTGGAATACTCTGTCCTGGGAAGGCCTTGCTGAAATATTTTGCTCTCTGTTTGCTTAATATAACACAACTGGGATTTTATTTATTTGTTTTAGCAAACTAGAATGAATGATTTGCACTGCCTGAATTTAGACACTTGGACTTGGTCTGGAAGGTAGGTCTCTCTCTCTAACACTTAAAGTAGAATGTAGCAGATTGAAACATTGTTAAATAGTTCCAGTGCTAATTTTGTAGCTTTTCTAAGAGGAGAATGGGAGTTTGGGGACTATTTTAACAGCTGTTATATTGTGATTTCAATTTAATTTAATTTGGTGGTGGTTACTAAGCTTTTTCTGTTCCGCACCGAAGCATTGATGATGCTATTTTAAGCACAGCATGTAGTGATTTAACATCACCATTTTCAAGATGAGTACATTTATCCATATGGAATTTCAGTTTTTATGTCTTTTTGAATGCTGTTTTTACTGTCTATATTTGGCTCATCATGGTACAGAATGAGGAAGGATCTTCCCCCCTCCAAGATAAGCATCCTAACCATTTTTTAAAAAATCAAGTATAAAGCATGATCTAAATATCTCAGTTTTAAACTAAATGAGATATTACTGTACTTCCTAATACTCGGTTGTTTGCATGTAGCATTTATGATGGTGTCTACTGCACATGTAGAATCAGTGGGTATATTGTTAGCTGATAGACAGACCAAGAGATAAACAGTAAGTAGTGGTTGATAACCGCTGTTCTGTTCCTGTTGTCAAGAGAACCTAATAGTAATTTCATAAAAGACCATGAAATTCACCTTTCCTGAATATGTGTCAGTACCGATCCTGCTCCAGGGCTCTGTGCTTCATGCACCTGTGACAGGCATCTTTAATCACCTGTGGCTGCTATTCTGATCCTACATCCAGTGTGTTCCTCTGTCCTTTGAGCTGAGAGCAAAACAAGGGAGTAGACACAACCCTCCATGCATTCCTTCCTGCTGCTGATGGCAGCAGGACAAAGTCCCTCAGTCCTTTCAAAAAAACTTCTCTCTGAAGATGTCTTTAATTAGCACTTACGATTATTCAGTTTAATACTCCCTCTTCCTTGCTGGTTGTTTTAAAATTAATGATGTTGTACCTAAACGGTAGCATTGTCCCTCTTAGACTGTGAACTTTACCTCTGAGTGGATTGATTATTCAGATTATTGCTTTAGCTGCTTGCTTTTTTTTGTTGTTGAATGAGCAGTTGCTGTTTGACTTGCTTTATATTGCTTTAAAAAAAGGAAACCTGTGACAGTTGAGTGAGAAGTCAATGAGAGGAATTTCAAGCCCTGAAGGAGGAGTGTCAAATGTCAACATTCTGTCTTAGTCCTCATCAGCCAGTGTTCCCTTTTGTTTGGCATATGAAAGCTCATATTGAAGTTTTTAAAAAGTGTTCTGTCCTTGACCTGAATACAACAGGCTGGTTTTACGTACGCAGACACGCACATATCCTCAGACTAAGGATGGTAATAGTAAATTCAGCCATTCCTAAAAACTGAAGATTGTTCCAATACTCAATTGTTTCTGTTTTGTGATCCAAGAATAACTGGCAAGACTTACCCATGATTTAGTATAGACTCTGATCATTATAAATTTAGGAGCCTACCATCCAGCCATTCTGTAGCACCTCTGCAAAGAGTCTTTGAGAGACTGAAATAAGATATTGAAGAGAGACTTAAAAAAGAGATTTAAGAAATTAGGAAAAAAAGAGTCTTTGCAGAGTGCGTGCTGCTGTGGTGTCACTGCATGAGAGGTAAAACGTTCATATTTGGTATATAGAGAAGTAACTACTCAAGGGCTGGTCTTATAGGAAACTTCACAGGCCTGAGAGCTGTTCTTCCCTTTCTAAAGTGCATAATCTTAGGGAAACCTGAGAGATATAATTCTTATTGTCACAGATGGCAGAATTTAGATTAGCCCTTGTCAGCTGTCAGTCGGGGGGGGCAGTGTAGCTTCCAAGGGCTAGATGATGTCTTCTCCAAATAGTTTATTTGTGGCTATTAATTATCTACTATGGTAAAATCATCTCATATTACCAGGCCAACTGTCAGCATGCATAAACATATAGGCCCCCTTAGCATGATTTCATTTCCTAATTACAAGAGGAGCAAAAATCAGTCTATATTTCAGGACAATATCATATTAGTATTTACATTTTTCACTCCAGTTTACAGTCTGTCTTCACACAAAGTGTTTGGAAAATTATTTCTGGCTACATGCTTCCTTTCATAAAATCAGCAGTGGTGGCTGTATTAGAAATTGGGCATTTGTAGGGATCATCTCCAACATAAAGAACTTGGTCCCAAAGTTCCCGTGATTCTAGGCACAAACATTGTAAAATAAGACAGGAGATAAACAGGCCGGGGTTTTTTTTTCCCCTCTTTTTTTTTTTTGTCTGAAATTTATATAGCAAAGAAATGCTTGCTGAGACCAATAAAGTTATGTATTGAGAGTGTGAAGTAAAGAAGATAACTCTAGATCCTTTGATTACCGACAATGGTTTTGAATGGTTCTAATCAGACAATCCATTTCCAGCTGAAAATAGCCTCTAAAAAGCCCTGGTGTCATTTGAGTATTTTGCAGGTGGGGAGAATCCTTCAGACTTGTTTGCTGTCGGTGTGACTATTTTCTCCTCTAGGTATTTCTTGCAAGGAACCTTACCTTTCTTATGCTATCGCTTCAGATCCCTTTTTACTGAAATCTCTGATCTGACGATGAATTAAAAATTGGGCAGGATACAGCCTTCCTGATCTTGCTAACAGAATTATCTCAGCCATTCTGCAGCTGCAGAGAGATTGTCTTTGATTGCCATGTGAATTATCACCAAACAAGACTGGAGGATTTAATGCAGATTAAAAAGTTTGGCTGTCTGAATGCTGCTGACCAAGGCAAGTTGACTGCAGGTGTATGAAGTTCTTCTGTAAAGTACAGATCTCCTAGTCAGGAGGACTTGGTTTGTACAGTCCTACATTCAAATTCACTTACTGGACATCCTCCTAAAAGAAAAATTCCAAATGCAATGGTGATTTTATTTAAAGCCCCATGGCTTTTCATTACCCTGTCATGTCAAGGTTTTCTTCTTATTCAACTCTATACAGATTTCTTACGAATTGCATAATATTCACCTATTCATCCAGGAATATCTTCCAGCATGAGATCATAATATTTATTTTAACTTGCCACTACCCAGAAGTTACCTTGCCTTCCCTGAGCTCCACTGACCTGTTATTCAACATGTTCAATATTATGTTATTTCTGTTACTGTGATATTATTTTGTCTCAGTAGCATGAAAGATTGAAATGTTATCACCCATCAGTATCTGGTATATATCAAAGCCTGTTCTATCTCAGCACAGTCTGCCTCTTCTGCCAATTTTAGAAGCATCTTATACAAGAGTTGTGCAAAGCAGGCACTCAGACATTGTGACTTGGCTCTAACTTCAGTGCCAAATTTAGTAGAACAGTTTTGCAATCACTGTTTAATTAGCTATGATTCTTCAGCCTTGCTTCCAGATGGAGAACTGCTTAGCAGTTACCAGTATTGAAATTCCTCTAACTGAACTGCAGATGCCTCTGTTACTCACCCTAGGCTTCCTCTGTGCTCAGTTAAGAGAAATAGGCTCTTCTTGGGCACAAGACAACTGCTGCTAAGGTAGACATCTAAAATAAATCACGAGTTGTGCTTTTCAAGGACCTGTTTCTCTTCGTTGATTATAAAGGAAATACAGATGACTGTCTGAGTCTGCAGTGTTCGTATTGTAGATTGAGCACACATCTGCGTATATTATACTCGCCTCACTTTAGCAAACTGATTCTTTGAGACACAGTCTACCTGGATTGAACATTCCTTTCTTCCCCGCTCTGGACAGTGTCTGACTAAGATTCTGACCCCCCAAGAGAGTGTACAGGTGTTCACACCTGCTTTTTCCATCATCTTTCCAAAATGAGGACACACGGAGTGTGCAGTGGCCTAGATTCTTTGTGTCTAACTTTAGGTACTTTACAACTGAAGTTGCCTCTTTGCTTAGTATCAAGATACTAGGTGGGCTGATGCCCTCTGGAGGTCCTTACTCTTCTCTGCTGACTCTGTTGGGATCCTCCTGAGACAACTGTACACCTAAGTGCCTAAACCAAGGTCATGTGAATTCAGGCCACCCACTATAGGTAGTCCCTTATGTTCAGATTCTTTACTGTTCAGATTCTCATCTCAAGCATACCTAACCGTGCAGCTAAAATAAGATCAACATCAAATCTGTATTTTTGTAGAATGAGCAGATTTTTGGAATAATAAATCTACATCTGTTTTGTACTTTCGAGTTCCACATTTTATTAAAATTGATCTCAAAGTTTGGGTGACCCAGCATTGTGTTAAAAGGCACAATGGTTGAAGAGCAGTAGCTTTTGGATAAAAGGTAAAACCACAATCCTTTTATCATTTGAGATCATTTTCTTAGGAGCGGAGAGCCTGTAGCCCCTCAGGATTCATTAAATTTTACCTCTAATAACTGAGTCTGTTTACCTACATGTACTGTGCAGTTTATTTGAATACGTAGTCCTTTCTTTGCTGCCTTAAGTGCCTTCAGTTGTATGTTAAGTAGTGGCTTTAGTGATGTTAAGAAAATAAATAAAATAGCAATCAATGCTTTTGTCCTTACATTTGATATTTACATAACTGGTTGTTCGGAGAACAGCTACCACAAGAAATTATTTTGTTTAGATTTGAACACTGCTTTTCTCAAGACTAAATTCAGATTGCGTAAGTGCAGCTTTTTCACTGGGAAAATATCCAAGCTTGTTCTAGGACAAACTAAATTAACTTTTAAATTTTCTGGCATGTTAATTTTCGGCATTCTTTGAACGTTTGTTTTTGTTTATTTGTTTCACCAAGAATTAATATCAGTGGAGAGAAACCAAAAGATCGATCCTGGCACACGTTGACTCCGATAGGAGATGACAGACTTTTTCTTTTTGGTGGACTAAGTTCCGATAATGTTCCTCTAAGTAAGTAATTTAGAGATTATAATTCTATTGTACACTTTATTACTAACCTCGTGTGGCATGCGCATTTGTTGTCTTTCTCAAACTTCTTAGACCTAAGTCTTGTAACAGAATTTTCATGGTGCTTGGGTATTTCTCTAGCTATCTTACTATTTTTATAGAAATACAGGATCACATTGTGTAGTACAATGGGAATGTATGATAATAAATATTTCAATAAACTGTCATCTAAAAGAATAAAGGCAAGAGTGTTACGTTTTGATATGAACAAGGGGTAACTTTTGATATCAATAGCAATTGCAGGAAGAAGATACAAATAATAATGTCAACATAATGTAGATTTTGGGATTAATAACAAATCACAGCTACCAAATGTTAAATAGGAGTAGGATAGTGTTATGCTGAGTTCCTTTTCTAGAAAAGGCAACTTCTTTTCAGGAAAAAACGTGAAATTAGTGAAAATAGTTTTGTGTGTCACAGATACATTCCACTGGGAGGGGTCAATTTTCTCAATTTATCCAAAATAAAAAAAAGTAAGTGTATTTTAATTCCAGATTTCAGTGCAGTGAGCTTTCTGTGACTGAATGGTTACGTTAAATTACATTATCTTAATATAATGCACTCTTAGAACACAGAGCTTTTTGTATAAATAAAAAAGGTAATGCTTCATCCCAATAAAAAGTACTAATGAGTGTTCTTGTATTGTAGGTGATGGCTGGATTCACAGCATTACAACAAATGGATGGAAACAACTTACCCATTTGCCTAAGAGTAGGCCTAGGTATACAAAAATAGATACTGTTTGTTAAAATCTAGACATTTTAAAAAATTAAGTCATTTTAAATTATTGAACAGTATTTTTAAACTACATTATAAGAATATTTTAGATAATTAATGCAGTATGAATAGTTTGCTTTACTAACTTATGTTCCTTCATATATGATACAGCACTATTACTTTCTATATTTGCTATAGCTGATGCTTACTTACATTATGATGCTTATTTTCATTAAAAGATTATTTTGTGATGAAGGATCTGGGTGTCCAACTAACCTGGCGTCCTACAGCCAAATTACTTTTATATAAGAAAACGTATATCACATAACTTCTGAAGAATTAATAACCTATGAGAATACTAGAAGTTGATTAATGTTCATACATTATTAGAAACATGGGGGAGACAACCATGAAAATGTTGATGCACCTTTTGGGGTTCAAAAGTGGGAAATACCTTGTTTGGCTGGGTTTTTTTCCCTGAGCAGAAGCAGCTAATTATGATTACAGTTTTGCAAAACTGAATTTAGTACTAGAGAGCACAGTAAATGACTGTGGAGTTTTGTTATTTCGGAGACTTAACTGCCAACCAAAAAGGACCTACTTCTAGAATGTGTATTGTTCATACGGGCGACAACACTGTCTCTTCCAGACTCTGTTCCCCTTCCCTCTCTAGTTTAAGATTACGGGAAAAGATAGATTATTTCCAACTAAAGAAAGCAAATTTCATGTACTGAACCAGAAGCTGCCATGGAAAACAGGTGCTTGCTCTGTCAGAGCACAGACTTTTTTTTAACAGTGTTTGAAGCATTCTCTGTATTTATAATGTAAATACTATCAAATTGGTTTGCTGTAGACAGTAAATAGTCAGTTTTTCATGGAATTCATTCTATATGTTCACCCAGGTACTCTCAGCACAATTTTAGATCATTCTTTTAGCATAGTGTACGATTCTGATCTGGCATTTGCATGCTTCCTGCCTTACATCCTGTTTTCTATTACTGAAATATCTGCACCTTAATTAATTGTCTTCCTGTTTTATCCTGTTCTAGGGTGTCTTAAATACAACAGCACTGTTAGACCAAGTTTTCTGCTTTCTTATATTTCAAACTTTTTCAAGCCCAAATAAACTTACACTTTAGCTTCATAGAATATTTTTTGTCTTTTTACAATTAGTGACCTGAAGGGGCTGATGACTTCCTTAAATAGCAAAGCACATCATTAGCACTCAAGGTCATGTCTTTGTGTTCAGTTCTTTACACGGATGGTCTCATCAGAGTTAACTGCTGAAGTGGACTGCCTCCCCTTGTGTGCTTATTTTTATTGGTGCATCATGAAAAAGGATCAGGAAGGGACAGAATGTGCTGCTTCTTACAGGGAGCAGCCCAGGGAGCTGCAGGCTCAGCCTTTGCTCCGCAGTTAAGCTGGAGTAACGTTTGTGCCTCAGGTGGCAGTGGGGCTGGATATTCGGAACCTGTGACTCTGGAGCTCCAAGTGGCTTTCAGGCAATTCAAGGGCAGATCCCGTACTGGGCTACAAAGCGCAACTGTGTCTTGGCTCTGCTGACAGAGGGGCTGTTGAGCAAGCTGCCTTCCTTGCTGCAGCGGAAGGACTAAAGAGGGTTCCTGAGGCTGATGCTGCTAAATTTGCTGGGGACTGTACGGCACGAACAGCCCAGACTCTCCGAAGAGGACAGAGCTTTTGGGTCATGTGCTGACAAGAGTCTCAGAGCTCCCTCAAGCCCAAATGTTTCTTATGGTTCTCTGCCATCTGAAGACTTTGCTGTGCAGTTTGTAGGCTGAGGACAGTTGCCTTTCATTGACCTAATTCTTTATTGAAGTAAATGACCTCTCCCCCCTCCTTTTTTTTTTTTAAAAAAAAAAAAAAAAAAAGAAAAAAAGAGATACTTCAGTGACCTTTTTCAGGAAGACCTGAAAACATGGATAAAAGGAGCCACACCAAAAGTCTGTCTATATATTGAACTAGTTTGAGTGTGAAGTATTTACTTGTACCATAATTGTATCCCTGTTCTTACAGGGGATTACTGCAGGATCTCTGCAGCTCAAGAGGTTTAAGTCAGTTCTATCACTCATATGACTTTATAGCAGGACTTAAGATGCACTGGCAGTAATACATATACATGTACTTCTTTTATATTAGTACATGGTGTATCACACATGCATTACTGTATTTTCCCAATGCTTCTGCAAAATTAATTCCCTCCTTAAATTCTGTGAAGAGTAATTTCCTTCAGCCTTCATTTTTAGTAATTTTAAAAAAAAAATCCTTCCAGGTTCTTCCTGTGATTCTGTATTGGTAGAAAATACTTTTCTTCTTTCTGTCCATCAGTTGTATTTCAGTTAGCATTTTGCATGCCAGGTTAAAATAGAGAACAAATCGTATGTTTAACTTACAGATTCCCAGTGTTTTCATTGCAATGTTATTCTAGTTAGAAGAGCTGTGTAAAAAGGTTACATCAATTCAGCACCTGTATAATTTAAATAACATGCTTTATTAGAATGTTTAGGTGATAAGTTAGAGCAGCTGTGAGAGGACATAAACTCTGTCAGTCTGTAGAGAAAGCATCAGGTTGCGAGCTAGGATGTCAACAGAGTCAAGGCAGGAAAGGCTTCCCAGTGCTCTGCGGTGATGAAGTCCAGGCCAGAGTTTTCGTAATGCAGATAAGGCAGAGACAGATCTATCTACAGGTATGAGGAAGAGAAAAGGTGGGATACAGTTTAGCCTAAGGAGAACCGGGCGTAATTACTGATATGAATGGAGTAAGAACGTGAGAACATTTACTTGTGCATGAAAGTTCTAGCGGTGTATATTATTTTGGTTAAGTAGACTTAAAGGGCTAGAGCTCTGTGGTGACAATCATCTTGTGATGTTTATTTCAGTGGCGATACACCAGTAGAAAAATCAGTAGATTTTGATCTGCTGATCATAAAAAGTACATCTAGCAAGGTGTAGCTGCTGAAGTAGCAGAATCTTTGTTAAAGCAAGATTATACAAGTCAGGGTTTGGTTTGGGTTTTTTTATACCATGTGCTTTTATATGCATAACACGAAACTTACTTGTGGGTGTGATCTAAGTAATTGACACGCAGAAAATGATCCCCAGGAATCTTTGGGGGAAGCGTAAAACCGAAACAGGATAACTTGTGGTCTGAAGCTCTCATCCTAGTGTTCAGGGATAAGAGTCAGGACTGAAAACCCCACAATCTTCAAGCCATTAGACTTGTAGTTATGAATTAAAGAACTAATAGATTTTTTTTTTTAAAAAAAAAGGAAAAGAAAAGCTGTTATTGGCAAAAGCTTGTTTTATATAGTTCCTTTGTTTTCTAAAAATTTTCCACTGTAATGTTCTGTTGAAGTAGTGATAAATAAGGGAAAGTATATACAACTAGAGTACAGAAAAGTCAAATAATAATGACAAAAAGATATTGGTCTGTAGGAAATGTAATTATTCAGCCAAATTCTCATGAGATGGATAGTCACATTGCTCTCTCCTTTTATATTGTTAAAGAAACAAGTAATTCATATTTTAAGGTATTATTTTTTACCTCTGAAGAATTCTAAAATAATGTCTTTGTCTTGGTTTCCTAAGAAGTAAGGGTTGCGTTACTGTGCTCTGTGCATGCATGGCTGCCTCTCCCTCCCACATACGTTACGAATCAATTGACCCAGTGCGGTAATATTTGAGAAGAAAATAGGAAGCTCAGAGATACTAAGTCCCAACGTACTCTGGGCAAATAAATGGCCAAACAGAAAAGAGAGACTCTCGTAATCGCTTCCCTCCAGTGCTTATTCTCCATTCTTCCATAAGAACGGGAGGTCTGCCTTGCGACCCAGGTCGATACAGAACAGGCTTTACTGTTTCTGCAGCTCACAGAGCAACTTGTAAAATGCATTACTTAAAATTATAAAATTCTTCTGGGTGAGTAGTGAGGCCAGTCAGAATGTAAGGCTCTGTGCATTAGCAGTGGAATCACAGGATTAGGAGAGTGACCTCTCCATTTTTAGTTAAAAGGAACTTAAATCCTTATAGCAAAAGAGTCTTTTGAAAAGGAACTTGGGTATGAAGAATGGAGGAGAGAGTCTGTGTGAGGTGAAGAGGTTAATATGTGAGGAAACTTACTGCTTCTCTGAAACAATTAAAAAATATTTTGGTTTTAGATTTGTTTTGCTGATAACACACAACCGCTTGTTGTTACTCGGTTACTAATTCTATTTATAATTTTATTTCCAGATTGTGGCATACAGCCTGCCTTGGAAAAGAAGGAGAAGTGATGGTGTTTGGTGGAAGCAAAGATGACTTGCATTTCATGGACACAGTCAGTAAACTGAATAATGAAATCGTAACACTATCATAATTAAAATTGATATAAAACTAAAGTTAATACAATTGGTGCTATTATTGAGTTCATTCATATCATGTAGTATTGTGAGATTTTACCTTCAGTGTTCTTGGAAAGCCATTTATGAGGGGGTTTTCCTGCCCTTGTTAGGCTCATAAAAAGGAATTTGTTTTTCAGATTTTTTCTAAATAATTATTTGAGTATTCTCAGGTTTTAATTATGCATGTGGTAGTAAATGTTACATTAATCTAGAAAATAGCCATATTTCTGAGATAAGATGTTTGTCATTTTAATGGTTCTTTGTTTCTCTTGATCAGGGTCACTGCAGTGACTTGTTGATATTTCAGACTCAACCTTATTCACTCCTCAGGTGAGTTGAGGTTATCGGCGCAGAGTCTGGTGTAAATTGTTGTGGCTTTTACACACAGGTCTTTAGATTATGGACCATTTACTGAAATCTTTCTCTTCCTTCTTTATTTTTTTCCTCTTCTCCTCCTTCAGGTTGTGTCTTGACTGCATTGGTAAAAACGCGGCTCTCTTGAAGAACCAGATCCCGTGTCTGCCATCCAAACTTTTGCAGCAGGTGCTGAAGAAAATAACCTTCTGGGCTGCAGTTAACCACCGGCAAGAGAGAAAAGCTGAAACGGAAAGACAAAGCCAACTAAATACCACATGAACAATGGCAACAAAACCGTGGAACACTGGTTTATTTACAGTGTCCAAGCAAAGTCTTTTGTTAGTGGACTTTACTAATGCTACAGAACACCTGTATGTTAAGCTGAGTTTCTAAGTGAAGTTTGAGAACAAAGAAATCCTTTTTATGGAAGTCTCTCTTGTTTTCTGCGTTATAGAAAAACAGTAAAAGTTCATTTGTATATATTGTTAACTTCTGCTGTTGTGGTCTTAATGAGACAGTCCATACAACTTGTTCTTTTTGGAGGTGACAGGCGATACAAAATATTTTCAGTTGGATAAAATACAGCCTAAAGTCTTACTGCAGCCTTATCACATCAGCCTTTCCCAAAAGATAAAATTAGTTCAACATGGTATTTTTGGAAGATTTTTTTCCTTTTTTTTTTTTTTATTTTTTGAAGAAAAGGGAACTAATTTGCTACCGCCACCCAGTCTGATTGATTCCACCAAATTCCGTCATCGGACCGTCGAGCGGGATGGAGGAGCCGGACCTCAACATGCCACCAGTGG